GGGGCGAAACCACTGAGCTAAATCTCTGGCCCTGTAGAAATTTTTTTCAATGAAAAGTTAGCATTTTTTTCCCAAATCATCAGAGTTGATAAAGATGCCACATGTGTGGCCTGTAGTTGTGTCCACCCACCCTCACCCAGCAGGCACACTGCTGCACGTTATAGGAACTGTACAGAGCTCAGCTAAAAAATCTGCATACATAACAGAGAGAACATTGGTCAGAAGATTCCTGGGTTGTAAGTTTCCCAAGAAAAATGTGATAGAGCTGGAGAACTTAAATATTTTTATGTACAATGTAGAGTTCTCCACTGCCTCCAATAACATCCAGAGGCAGTGAACTAATTTTTTAAAAGGAATCATGCTGTCTGGCTTTGCTTGTTTAACTGGATAGCCTAGACCAAATTATAGCTGCTGCTAGGCCTTAGGTGCTTCCATAAAATAGACATTAAAAATACAACCCACCCAGCGTTCTGTTTCCTAGCCTGTGATCGATGTATGTTCATGTATTCCCTTTCTAATAATTGACTGGTTTGGGCCCTTTGATGTGTGTGTGTGAAACATCTAATTTTAAAAAGGAAATCCTAAAAAATATGCCAAGGCTATAAAGTTGTTTTAAAGATTAAATGAAATAATGATCTTCAAACAGTCCCTGTTACGGATGTTACAGAGTAGGGGTTTAGTAAGTGCATTTGGGTTTGAAGGTTAAAATTTCACTGTTTCCAAAGGTTTAAAAAGAACTTTTATTACTTTATTGTCTTAACCGACAGATTCCAGTGTCACTGGAAGTATTGGCAAGAAGAGTGTAACAGATCTTTGGAATTAATTGTTCAGTGGTAACTTTCTTGTGAGACTCACTTGAGTGTTACTGATCTTCCCAGGAAGAAACTAGATCCTTTGAGATGTGTGATTTTTATTTTTGCTTGTCTATGCTCCTTTAGGTGTTTCCATTCCCGAAAGGCCCAGGCTTAAATTTGTTGAAAGGGCACCACTTGTACCAAAAGTAAGAAGAGAACCTAAAAACTTGAGTGACATACGGGGACCTTCTACTGAAGCTACTGAGTTCACAGAAGGCAGTTTTGGGATTTTGGTGAGTGATGAAAGCTAGGGATGCTGGGGGGGCGGGGGTGTTTGTTTGTTTTTAATATAGAGTAAAAATACAGTAGCTCCCCACCTTATCCACAGGGGCTACATTCCAAGTTTTCCACTGGATACTTGAGACTGAGGATAGTGCTAGATGTGTACAAGCAGTGTGATACTGTGATGGTCAGTCTAATAACCTAGATGGGCGCTGAGTAAGAGGCAGGTAGTGTAGGTACACTGGACAGCGATGATTCACATCCCAGGGGAAGTGGAGCAGAATCAGAAGTGAAATTCAAGTGCACTACTGAGTACGGTGTGCAGCTTAAAAATTGTGAATTATTTCAGGATTTTCCATTTAATATATTCAGAACATGATTCATCACTTCTCGGCCTCTTGGCTAAGGTCAAGTGTAGAACATGGTTGACCACTCATACGTGAAACCACAGAAAATAAAACAGGTGGGTGGTCCTAATGCAGAAGAGAAGAAAGAGGCTCCCTAATCTGCCCTCACCATGAGATGGCTTCAAGCCTCCTGGTAAAAATAAAAGTCTCCACGACTCGGGTATGGGGCAGCTATTTCCTAACTCGTTGAAAGGGTTCCATGAAGACTTAGCATGAGTAGCTACACAAATAGCTGTGCACTAGGGTTTATTTCCCATCAGGCAGCCAGAGTGACTGTAAAGTCCTCATCCCTGGGCTGCACAATCTGCCCTTTCTGACCCTGTGGAACCTCGTGCCTGCTCTCTGTGCACCTCGCTCCAGCCATGCTGCTCTCTACTCAGACTTACCAAGCCCTTCGCTCTTTGCAGACCTTCCCATAGCTGTTTCTCTGCCTGGAACTGTCCTCTCTTTTCCCTTGGCTGTTTCTTATTGCCATCCTCAGCTTAAATGTCACCTTCTCAAGAAGCCTTCCCTGACTCTCATTGGAGTGGGTCCACCCTTGCTCTCCTTTCTTACTGCTACCCTAGGCTTTTCCTCCATGCCACTTAGGAGAACTTACGTTTATATTCGTGTGTATCATTAAGGCCACGGTTGCTATAAAGGGATATAATAACAAAGACCATACAAGATACCCAGCTCCCCATGCATTTCTGATTCTCTTACTTTTAGGCACTTGGAGGTGGTTACCTCCGTTGGGGCCATTTTGAAATGATCCGCATGACAATCAACCGGTCTATGGACGCCAAGAACATGTTCGCCATATGGCGAGTACCAGCCCCTTTCAAGCCCATCACCCGCAAAAGTGTTGGGCAGCGCATGGGGGGAGGCAAAGGTGCCATCGATCACTACGTGACACCTGTGAAGACTGGCCGCCTCGTGGTAGAGTTAGGTGGACGTTGTGAGTTCAGAGAGGTGCAAGGTTTCCTGAACCAGGTTGCCCACAAGTTACCCTTCCCGGCAAAGGCTGTGAGCCGTGAAACACTGGAGAAGATGCGGAAAGATCAGGAGGAGAGAGAACGGAACAACCAAAACCCCTGGACTTTTGAGCGCATAGCCACTGCCAACATGCTAGGGATACGCAAGGTGCTGAGCCCCTACGACTTGACCCAGAAGGGGCGGTACTGGGGCAAGTTCTACCTGCCCCAACGTGTGTAGTGAGAGCGCAGGAAAACGCGTGCCTCGGCCACTGAGAAGGGATCTGCTTCCCCTGGAAGCCTCTGAGTGGCTCCTGGTTTGTACCTAAGTAATGTCTGAGAAGCTCTGTAATCTACTGATCTTTTAATAAAGTTTGAGCATCACCTCAGGGTATGACTTCTCATTGGTCACCTTCATCCCTCAGGAGATTAGGGATGATTGGTGAGAGCTCTGGCTTCTCCTGGATTGTAAGATAATGGTATTCAGGCATTCACACCACTGGTGCAAGCCTGGCTCAAGGCCTGCACTGCCGCCTCCGTGTCCACACTGCAGGGGCTGGCTTCTGTGATATTCTCCTAGTCCCAGACAGGGAAAGATGACAGAACAGAAGCTAATGGGTTCAACAGGTGTGTACTAGTGCCCAGCTACCCAGCTTCCCTCAGTCTTGGAAGAGGAGACAGTGGACACCGTGACAAGGAACGCAGCTCGCAGGCAAGGGACTGATGGCAAAGCTGGCTTCTGTGCTGCTGTCCTGGCGGCAGGAGGGAGGGTGCCGGCGCTACCTCTGTCCCTGCAGGGTCTGTACGGTGCCCTGTGCCGTGCAGCGCACAGATACCACTGTGAGAGGAGCGGCGGCCATGACTCTCAGCACCAATGCCAGTCCCCTGTGGCCATAACAAGATGAGAGCCAGCCAGCTGTAGTCTCTGTCCCCTCTTCAAACTACAGAAAATGCAGATGAATAGAGATACAAGACCACTTGTGCTGAGTGCTGGCACGTGCCTGTGGTCCCAGCCATTTGGGAAGCTGAAACAGGAGGGTCTCAAGTTCAAGGCCAATCTAGGCAATTTAGAGCCTGTCTGAAGATAGACGAAGGCCTGGGGAATGGAGCCTAGCGCTAGAGCACCCCTGGGTTCAATCCCTGGTATCACACATAAGCAAAATTTAGTTGAAAACTACAAATGTAACAGTTGGATGGCCCTCGAGCACTACAGTCTGCAATTTTTAAATGTATTTCTAGTGACCCTCTTGCAGTATAATCACAGTAGACTGAGGCTAATGCACACACAGCTGGTTACAGCTGCACACACTGGATCTTGGCTTGGGGACTGGGCCTTGAGTGCTTTTGTGCTCAGACAGTGCTGGCAACAGCACCAGTGCATGGTGCACATGGTTGAGAGGCAGGTAACAGCGTGAGGCAGGAAGTCAACTGTGGAAGTCACGGAAACAGCGGTTCTTGCATCCGAAGAAGAGGAAATTCTCTGCCCTGACTGGAGGAGTGTGGCCCTGGCGAGCCCGACCAGATGCATCCCCAGGGTCCACCAGGAAGAATGCATCAGGTCAAAGGAAGGCTTGGAGGCTAAAGAGGGGAGCTACCCATGCACCTGGCCTAGCAGCACATCTGCAGGCAGTGCTGCCCGTCACCGTGTCCATGTGTGTCCGTGTATGCGCGCACACGCACGCATGCGCGCGTGTGTGTGTGTGTGTGTGTGTGTGTCCTAAGATTGGTGTGTAGCTCCACCTGGTGAGAGGCCTTGCTGGGTCATGAATTCAGCTGCTGGAGACACTTCATCCCCATTGTCAGGAACATACTTTCCTACACTTGTTCACAGTTCCCGAAGTATTCCCTTTCCGTTTAATGTGATTTGAAATATGTTGATTCAAAGGGTGTTCAAGGTATTTATTTTCTGAATAAAGGAGACACTAGCCTTTAAACAAAAAAGGCTAATATCTCCATGTTGTGGATTAGAATGCTACTGTTGATGGTTGGGAATTCAGCCTAGAACTTCCTTAGCTGGCAATCTGGATTTAGTACTGAGCCACCCACCTGCGATGATCTTGATGATCTTGTCCGTGGGATGGAAGGTACTGATAGGGCTCCACCACTTCCGCCCAGAGACAGCCTGCATAGCATCTGCTGTGATTGAGGGCACCCATTGTAATATTTTTACAAATGGATCAGCCCGTAGCCTCTGATAGCAACACACCCTGTTCCCATTGATGTCTTATAGATAAAAGTCAAACCCAGGGACTCATCCATGAATGAAATCACAGCCTGACTGTAGGTCATTCAGTCAGCAAATATTTGACCACCTGTGAGTGGCAGGCACTGTGCCAGGCAGGGGGAACACAGTGAACGAGACAGGCGAGATGCCCACCCTTGGATGAGCCTCATCTTGAGGACTACTGTGGGTCCCTGATGAAGGAAGCAGATGCCTGATTGGTCGAGTGTGAGACCTGAAAGACCAGAGAGCAGGAGCAGCAAGTGTCCTGATCTTAGTGGCAGTTCTTGGAAGACCCTGCCAGACTGGGTGAGCTGCAGCGCCCAACTCACAGGTTCAAGTGGGACCTCAACACACCGGTGTGTTTGCGCTCTGCCCTGCAGGCCCTTCCCTCGGACCTCAGCCTGAACAGCTGTGTACTGCTGTGCTGTTCCCTCACCCCCACCCATCTCGATTCCATATTTTCATAAATTGGTTCTCCCTTTGCCTAACTTGTAATAAGCAATTTATCTGTGCCCAGTGTCATAAGATGTTTCCTAATGGAAGAAGGCATGGCTGATGAGAAGTCTGCAGTGGAGAAGCGATGGCACCACCGAGGTGAAAGGAGGACTAGAAGTGCCAGTCGAGGGTCCATCTGTGAGGGCAGAAGGGCAGGGCATTGGGGTGGAGTCACCGTGAGGTTCCTGGCCAGGATCACACCCCTTTTCCTCAGGCTGTGCTAACTTACCCTGACCTTGGAAGGGAAGATACTTACCGTGGCTCTCTTCTAAACAGTTCAGGGTCTACCTAATCCATAAAACTAATTCTTGCTCCTTTCCCATTTTCAGATCCCAAGGCCTAAATTTTGCACCTTCACCCTCTTCAAAGTGCTGTATTCTGCTACCAGGTTCAGCTATGCCAGGCAGGCGGATAGCTGCCTTCTGTCTCCTTTCTATTCCTCAGACCACCTGCCTCTAACTCATTCTAAACTCCTTTTTCTCCCTGAAACACCCCTTTAGTTACTCAGATTCTGGGGAGCAGCCGAGTGGGAAGCAGGCGCGGCCCTCCCCACACACAGCTCACCTTTTTAGGCGAGTACGCCCCCAATCGTAGACGCCAGGATGATCACAAGGACTACACAGCAGATCATGATCATCACCTTCTTCTGCTCTCCAGACAGGGAAAGAAAACCCACATGAGAAACGGCACTGACATAGACACAGGGTCCCGACAGACACAGGCACGGGAGTGAAGTGGGGGAGCAGCGAAAAGGACAGGACATGGATCTGGCTTCCAGAACCCAGACTCCAGAGATGTCTCAGGTGAGAGATCTGTGGCTGTTGCTGCTGTCCTGCCTTCCGGCAGATGACACCATAGGTCTCCCTCCCACTTCTGCTACGTAAGGCACTCTCAGTGCGTGGACCAGATTCTTTCAAGGCCAGCACCTCAGCTCTGAGACTCCAATACAGTTAAGGCGCATTTGGGAAATTAAGCCATTTCCAAGAACTTGAACCTTAGGACCATCGTTGCGGAAGGATTTAACCCCAATCCAAAACCTGAACAAAAATCACCACACCGTGGCACCAAACCACCATGTGTTAGGACGGGAGGTAGAGCCATTTCACAATCAATATAAAGTCATTTATTTTTAAATTAGCAATAAAATAATCAAGTTTACATTTAAAAAAATACAAACAAGAAAAACCCTTCACATGCCGTGTTCCAAACTTTAAGCACCAGGCCTCATCTCAGAAGGGAGCCAAGGCCTGGGATTAGTTTGTCTCCCTCCTTGTTGCTGGACCAGTCCCTGTCAGACATCATAACCACGGAGAGGAGGGCACCCCTGTGGCTCTGTCTGAGTGCCGGGAATGAGGAACCTTTGCAAAGGAAGCTGGTGGGCAGTACTCGCCCGGTCCTGGAGACCATTAAAGTCAGCGCTGAAATACAGCTCGCACCTAAATTGGGGAGACTGGATGAGACCAGCAAGGACCCGAGGGGCCCGCCAGAGCATGAGCAGTCACCACGGGATTTCCTGGCTGTTGCTTCCCCTGTGATAAGAACTGGAGGAAACGAAGAACCTATAAATCTCATTCACCCAGAGCAGGAAGAGCCACTCTGCAGTCTGGTCTGTCCCAGCTGCCTGAGCCCCAGAGAGAGGACATCCCAAAGGTCCTGTCCATAATGCCAGATTGCTGTGGACAGTCTCCAGACAAGCCTCAAGCAGCAGCTGCAGGGAGGTGCCAAACATTACACCCTCCGTCTGCTACGCAGAAAAATGTCTGGGCACCAACTCAGTCCTCGCTCCAAAGAGGCCACTGGATTGTCCCAGTACTCATCTAGAAAACAAGTTCCTTGGTAACATGGGAGATCCTCGTCCTACAGTGACATTTGGAGGAAAGCAAATGTTTCTTACCTAATTTTTAGCCTAGTTCAAAGTGACTTTTTGTGTTTGATTGGTTGGGTTTTTTGAGGTCACTTCTACTTTCCTACTTCCTGAGAGAGAGACACACATAGGTACATGAGTCTCACACAGTTATAAAAGTACACCTGAAACACCTAAGTGACTCAGTACTCACACAGTCTCATTAAACATTCCAGAGCCTCAGACTAGCACCTGTCTCCAGTCCAATTTTAAATCCATGGTTATTTTTGGCCTCGCATCAAAGGCTTCACAAAGAAGCACTTTCTAACAGTGAGCACTGACTTTCCAAGACTCGGATAGGGAAACATCCCATTCCCTCCACCTTTGCAAAAGATAGCCTCAGATGACTGTATCATCCTGATTCCTCTGAGTAAACATGAAAGAATACAACACAGGAAGGGGAACCTGGCCCCCAAGTTGAGCTTAGTAAGAGCTTAATTTCAAAGCAGTCAACTTTCCAAACCAAAATGGCATCTGCTGGTCCCTCCTGTTTCCAGGACATAAGGACAACAGTCTGAAAACTGGCCTCCTGCCAGGTTGAAGACTGAGCCAAGCCCTGTTGTTGCCAAAGCTACAGGAGACCCTCTGCTTTGTTAAGACACTCCCCTTAGAAAGTACATCGCAAGTTCTGGGTACAGAACACTCCATGAGGTAGAACATGTAGTACCTGGGGACAGTCTCACATGGCTTCCCAAGGTACAGGGCACAACCTGACACAGGGAAGGAGCAAGCTGGGTGGGTTCAGGCAGTCCGGGAGGGAAGGCACTTTGGTTGCTCGGGCAAGATGGGGCTTTGAGGAGACCTCAGGGCTGCCATCAGGTAGATGAGCTTCCTCCAGGGCTGCTGAGTCAGGTCCAAGGAAGGTTACAAGGAAAGAAAGGGATGGGTCCCCCTGGCTCTCAGGAAGGCCAATCAGATTCCACTCCCATCTGAAGACAAGGGTGGCCACACCAGGCTGCAGTGGAACCAAGTTCTGGGAGAGGCAGGAAGAAGAAGTGCTCGTCAGTGTTCAGGATGGTGAACAACTGGAGAATTCAGCCACAAACCCAGGAAGTAGAAAGGAGAGATCAGAAACAACTGCAAAAGGAGAACAATGGAAAAATCAGCACCAAACCATGCCGCAGACAAACGTAAGACAGGACCAGGAGTTAATACTCCACTGTTAAAGAACACAGATCCCAATTACGAGAGGGGAGAACAGACAAAACTAGGCCTTTTGGAAGCCTGTGTGACATGGGATGTCGCACACCTATTTGAGCACTTGGGCAGGGGAACAATCACTTGGCTGAAAGCTTCCTCCTTTGAATACAAGCTTAGGAAGCTTTCTGATATTCCAGTCTTCTCCGTGAACCTACTCTTCTGAAAGGCACAATTCAGGGTATGGAGAGGTTCCGAAGGTCACATTATGGCTATTCCACTGTAAGCCTGGGCAAGATTTTGTTTGGTTTGGTTTTGTTTTGGGGTTTGGTTTTGAGACAGGGTCTCACTATGTAGTTCAGGCTGGCCTTAAACTCACCATGTAGCCCAGGCTGGCCTTGAACTCATGGTGATCCTTCTGATCCTTCTGTCTCAGCCTGGGCTTACAGGGATGCACCACCACACCCAGCCACACCCAGCTAAATTTCTTAAATAGACTGCAAATCAGAGAGCTTCCCCATCTGTAAATTGGGTGTACAGATAATACCCTAAAACTGGCATACCACTGGAGAGTGTAAACATGATTACCTCCCTTTCCTCAGTTCAGAAAACTGGGTGACAGGGGGATGGGGGGGGGGGCCCAGACCTAGGCAGTATCAGTCTGGACCTTATTAGAGCATACAGAATACACTAGGACAAGCATCTTAACTGCTCAGCAACTTAGCATTTTAAAGTCCTGGGTTACCTAAAAACATTAGTCTCTTTCATTTACATTCTGGAATTAGGAACGAATGTTAAAGGGCACCATGAATATACAGGATTTCTTTCGACCATTATGGAAAGCTAACAAGTATTATACCATTTTTTATCTTAACATCTTTTCTAAGAAGATGGTTAAAACTCAGAATAAAACTCAAATTTTGATGATCAAAAACTTTCAAGAGCTACACTTTCAGACCAAGGGTGTAGCTCAGTGGCACTGCACCTCAGCTGCACCGCAGTGCAAGGTCCTGAGTCTGATCCCTGGTACCAAAAAGGGAAGAAGAAGAAAGAGAAGAAAAAGAGCCTACAACTAAGTGCCTCCTAAAGGAGAGTCACCTCACTGCTCTTCTCTCAAAGCAAGCTGAATAATAATCTGACTTTCAGACTCGGCCATTACAAGAAAAGAGAAAGAATGAAGAGACACATTAGGCAAAAATACAATGAAGGCAGGGCAGGGCGTTTAGCTCAGGGGTGCCACCACCTGCCTCACAAGCTCAAGGTCCTGAGCTAGATCCCCAGTACCAAAATAGAATAAAGCGAAGGAGCCGGGGTGGCGGCACACACCTGTAATCCCAGCACTTGGGAGGCTGAGGCAGGAGGAGCTCTGCAAGTTGAAAGCCAGCTTGCACGACAAAAGGAGACCTTGTCTCAAAAACAGGGAGAGAGAGAGAGAGAAGACATGGGAAAAAAGAAAGAAGAAAATTGTACAAGGATGGATCAGCTCTCAGGACTTAATGTGTGTATGTTACCTCAGTAACCCAACTCCGATGAATCCATAATAGAGAAAATTAAAATAAGAAAAATACTGCATAAGGTTAGTCACACCATTAAACTCCAGCACTGAAAGAGTATGAACATTCGAGAGGGTCTCCACAGCTGCATGCTTAAAACCAGATTTAAAAAGATTTTAGTGATGTGGAATAATCTTATGATTTTGTAACTGGAAACAAACTATAGATGATATAGTCTGCGCTAGCTAAACTATGAGTGGGTGAGAGAATGTGTCACAAGGTTATCAGCAATGATATTAAAAGTTAAGCTAGATTTTTTTGTATTTTATAGGTCTTTTAGCAACACATGCTATATTCGGGAAAAAATATTTCAAAAGTCTTAGTATCCCAGTAACTAGATTATTGTCTAATAGCCATGCCAACTGCTATTAATAAGCCTGATATGGTCAGCACTATCTTGTTAAACAAAGTTTAAAGAAAATAGCCTAAATTTTAAAACCTCTGTTCTCCAAGGTTCTCTAGACTCTGTAGACAATGATAAATGCCTTCCTTATTTTACAAAGAGAAGCTAAGATATAGTGGAGAAATTTCCTAAGTACACTATTGGCTCTGTGAACTTGGCCCTTTTACTTAACTTCTCTTTAAGACTAAATTCCTCCATGCTGGGCATAGTGGCACATCCCTGTAATCCTAGCACTCAGGAGACAGAGAAGGAGGCAGCTGGAAGATTGCCCCAAGTTTGAGGCCAGCCTCAACTGCATAGGGAGACCCTGTCACACACACACAAAAAGACTTAAGTTCCTCTATCTGTAAAATGTGCATACTACTACTACCTCTCCCATAAGGGTGTTGTGACCATTCAGTGGTATGTGTTTACAGTACTTAGTAGATTGCCAGGTACAACTCAGCACTCAAAAATGTTATTACCTCATTCAAATTCCAACCAGTTAGCTACAAATAAAATTCTAAGGAGCCCAGCCCCCAACTCAAAGCTTCCTTTAGACCGAAAGGATATAAAGCAAAGCCTCTAAGAATTCAGAAGACAGACCCCAGATCCAAGACATAGGTTATACCCAACTTCCACCCATCCTTCCTTGGCAAGGAGAGTTGAGTTTTCCAGGAGAGGTGACAGGATCGATGACAACAGAAGAGTGACCAAATGCACAGGCCAAGAACAAGCAGGAGACCTGACCCATGTACTACAGCCAGAACCTGAGAACAGAATTTTAAGGAGATGAAAAAAACCCAACAACTAACAAGTCTTAGAATGCTCATTGTGCCCAGGGCCAATCATTAGAGAAAAGAAGTAGAATTTGAACTCCCAGGTTCGCCTCCTCGTGAGAAGCCAATCCCCAGTCCCGAAGAGCCAGTCATTTACTTACATTTCAGCGCAGCAGCCCCTTAGGCCGTTCTTATTACAGCCCAACGGAAAGTCCGATAATCAATGCTAAAATGCCCAGCAACACAACTATTACCACAATGATAATTATCAGTCTCTGGAAGAAGGAATAAGACAAGTAAAAACAGATCATTATTACAAAAATAACTCATCTAAAACCCTACCCTGCTGCTCTGCATAGAAGGCATCTTATCATTCCAAGAAAGGAGTTTACATCTCCATAAAGATATTCTTTAAGGGTATTTTACTTCTTAAATTACTTCTTAGCTAGCAGTGCCAGCAGATGGAAGTACGGAGCTTTTTCTCAGCACTCACTCACAGTTGTCTTGTGTATATGAAGAGACACAGTAAGAGCCACTGTCATGGGGTCTCCAAGCAGACACTGGCCGTTATAAACAAAAGGTTTCCCTTTCCAAGAGGAAGTGTACAGACATTTTTTATGCTATCCTAATTTCCATCTTCTGTTCATCTTTCCCCTAAAGCCCAGTTGAACCTATCAGACCCAGAATACTGAATGGGAGTCAGGTAGTATGGTTCAGCATGGACTCATGGTGTAAAATAACTCCCCACCTCCCTAAATACCTGCATAAGCCACAGGCACAGGGAAAAGAAAAACAAAGAACTAAAGAACAAAACTCTTAGAGACCAAGAGAAATAATCAAATAAGAACAGTAAAAGGCAGAAGCCACCAGAGCCGGCCCCCCAGTGAGTGAGTAGAGAAGCTTAGACATCCTTGAGCAACAGAGAGACCAGGGTGGACAGACACAGTGGTGTTGTGGGAAGAACATGATTAGGACCTGTGTTTGAATCCTACCTCTGCTATTAGGTGGATTGGAGCCAGCTACTTAACCTCTAACCCTCAACTGTTTTATCTAAAAGTAGAAAAAAATAGGTGCTTCCCTAGATAAACTGTTTACATAGCATTTAGCACAGTGCTACGTACAAGAACAGAGAAGATACTCAGGGCAGGGCTTGGGCTAGCATAGTGAAAGACAGTGAAGAGGGGTGTTCGGAAGGACGGAGTCCCATGTGCCACCTAGAAGGCTCGTGAGCTGCCCGCCAGAAAATCAGCAGTGAGCCCTGGCTGTGCATTCATCCTGCAGAGCTGCCTTTCACGTGTGGGTTCTTGATAGAAAGCATGTGAGCCAGATCCATGCAGGACACCCTGGGGAGGAAGGGCAGGAGGCCAGGCTCTAGGAAAGGCTCTGGGTGATGCTGCACAGGACAGAGAGGGAAGGCACGGGGCCCAGAGGCACAGGTGGGGTGACGGGGGGAGGAGGCACGCAGGGCCAACTAAGACGAAGGCGCTCACCCTCCGGGCTTCACTCTGATACTTGACCGCCTTTTTGGTATCTGCGACAGCCCGCTCCACGAAGCCCACTGACTGGTCCATGTTGTTCTCAATACGGTCAATCATGGCTCCCTTTACCCAGATGGAAGAGGCAGTGGCGGCAGAGACAGAGAGACAGAGAGACAGAGACAGCAGACATGGACTCTCTTTGAAGACAGCAGGAAAATCTCACCTTCCGGGCCTGACCCTGATATTTCACAGCTCTTTTAGTTTCTTCTCGTGCCTTCTCCACATGGTCAACTGTGTGCATGACATTCAATTCTATGTTATCTAACATCTCACCCTGCAAAGAACAGAGAGGCGTCACACCCAGGAAACCCACCAGAGCAGCCTGAGCTAATGTGGGAAGGGACTGTCTTACAGTCATAGAAGCAGCTGAGACTGTAGGGCTCCTGTATACATTCAAGGTCCCCAGTCCTTGGTGGTGACTCCTCATGAAACTCTGTGACCAGCCCCATTGGGTAGGCATCTGAAGCAGACTAGCTAGAAGCCTGGTGACCATGCATGAATATATTCGGAGGGATTCCCACTCCCATTTTTTTTAACTTAAGCATATGGAGAGGGACAAACATCAGAATATCTTGTGTTTGTTCTTTGCTGCTGCTACTGCTGCTGCTGCTGTTTGAGCATCACCAGGATGCTGGCCTCTCCTGGTCATTCAGGACCAAACCAAGTTCACTCAGCCTCATGAGGTGTGTTCACTACTGTAGAACAGTACACGGCACACGGTAGGTTTTCAATCCATGTCTGAGGTTGGGAACATATGCTTTGTCCAAGAGAAATTCCCAGGCCCCTTAAGTGACAGATATGAGACTTACTTAAGCTATTTGGTTATCTTCTTCCTTAAACAGTGGCCTCTTAATAAGATTCCCAACCATTCTCCAGCTGTTATCCCCTGACAGGGAAGTCTGGTCACTGCAATTAACTCGCAGGTATCTGACGATGGGGATCCCCTCATCCCCTCCAGCCTTCCTTGATCTAATCCCATCACATAGTGGCTCTGTAAGCACAGCGAGGGACTTACCATCACTTGACTCCCAAACCAGTTCCTCAGCAAGGCAGTGTAGGGGGAAAAGAGAAGATTCGGGATGGAGAGACTTGAGAAATGATCTCACAGGGTAGGAAAGGGTTGGGGAAGGCTCTGTGGCCCATAGCAGAGAAACACCAGTCAAGCAATGCCCGGGTTTCTAGGCTTTGCCACCTGTCTACTAAGGAAGCAGTTTCCAGTCCTATCCGGGAGTCAGAGCAGCTGAAGTGCCTGGTAAACATGGCACAGCCCTATGGCCCCGTAGCACTGTAAGAGATAGGAGCCATCTGACTACATGAAATCAGCACCATCTGAGGGCAGAGTATGCCTGAGTAAGGATGCTAGGGTGAACACCCATCCCACTAAGCACCTGGAGTCTTTCCAGGTCATCTGTAAATATTCTTCTACTATTTCTTTGTCAGCTCTTGTTCCATACCAAAAAGTGACAAAATTTTTAGAAATTTTTAAAAAAATTAAAATGGAAAAGAATAAAAACCTCCAGACTAAGTTGCACTAAATTTTCACCTTGAACTGAGAAGAGATCACAGGTTTTCAGTGTCACCAGTGAAACCATATCAGGAGACTGTTTTAAAGCATCATTACAAACCTGTTATCTCTAATTTTTAAAAAATGAAAAGGAAGGAAGAAAATTGGTCCCTGGGCTGAGCGGACAAGGTACTGCACAACACATCAAAACTGTATGAACCAGAAAAGATTGCAAGGCCACAGTAACAGGCAGGAAAGGCAAGGGTGAGAGAGCCCAGAGGGTCAGCATTTGCTAAGAATGCACAGCTAGGGTGCTGGGATTCCTTTATTCCATATGCACATTCCCTGTCCGTCCCACCCCACCTCACCGGACTTCCCACATCCCTTTCTTCTGCTCTTGCGAGATCCTGGCCCTTCTTCTCACTGCCACTTACCTGGTTCTCCACCAGCATGGCGATGTCCATGAACATGTCATGGAGCTCCTTGATGCTGCTCTCCAGCCTTACAATGTCCTTATGCCGACCCTCAATCTCACTGAGGGCTTGCCTGGAAATCTGCGAGTCAATGATCTGCAACCGGACACACACACAGGACATCGGCACCCTGCAGCAAACACTGCCTCTCCGCAGCACCCCCCATTCCCACTGAACTCCCCACCGCCCACCTCCCTGTGACGCTGCTTACCCTGTACCCGCAAGGCCAGGTGCCCAAGTCACTCACCCCGGAAGTGAAGATGGCAGGATTGCCACTCTCCAACATCTCCTCCAGCTCCTCATCTGTAGTCTTTTTCCCAGCTTTTTAACAAAAGTAGAACATCAAATACAAGGTCAAAGCACTTCCCATTTTAACAGGTCCCAGCAACTAAGAATAGGTGAGGACCAGGACCCACACACACTCCCCAGCCTCCAGACTCGTTTTTCTTCCGAGTTCTCCCCTAATCCAACTCATCCTGAACAGTGTCAGGAGTTCCCTTCCGAAACTGCTTACCACAGTGATTTCCACTGTCTCCCAGCTCAGGCTATTTCTTTGCCCCATGTGCTCTGCCCACGTAACAAAGCAGTTCGTGGGCAAGCCCTCCCTCAACCCCCCTGGACCTGACCAGCAGCTCCACATACCCTGTTCCCAGACTCTGGACAAACTGCCACTCCTAAGCACACTTGCTCTTTCTTGGTTACATCCTTGTCACACAGTCCCTCCCACTTAAAGTACACTTGGCCTACAAGGCCTTGCCTTCCGTATTATTAAACTCCTAGAGGCCATGGCTTCATTGGTTTCCTTATTCCTCACAGCAACTAGCTGCACGCCTTTCATTTCTTAAATGTGCCATCTAACACACAGCAGAAAGATGAAATGAAGCCACAGGAGACAGGTGTCTCCCTTCTAGCCATGAGGAAGTGCCACATTCCATCAGAATAAAGTGACTCAGGCCTGACAGACCCTGTGCCACTTTCCAGCCTAAGATGCAGCACTCAGGATGTGCCAATGTTAACATCTGTTCTAGAATTGGGCCCAGAGTAGTACATGGAAACCATAAGCAGTGTTGCTGCTGCTTCTCCCAGAGCCTCCCAGCCAGGGATGGACAATGACATGGTAGGAAAAAGGAGAGGAGGGCCGCACGCCAAATCTCAAACACATACTAATTTCAAGCTGCCGCTGGATTCGCCCTTTGCTGCGTTCACGGAAGTCCACCTGTGCCTCATTGTATTTGGTCATCACCTCCACAAACTTCCGGGAGAGGACAGAGTGCTACAGGAACAATGTTAAGTGAGTAAGTCCCCAGCAGGTAAGAAGAGGAAGGTCTACGACTGCCATAAAATCCCTTCCCCACCCCACATGGCCTGGTCGACAGCAGCACCGAGTGTGGAAGCAGGAGACCACCCAGCAGACCCAACCTTTTGATCTCCTGGTTTTGTGCCACCGAGAGTCCACTGCCAATTCCAAAACATGGCGTCAGCATCCCCACCTGCTCTGCTGACCTCACATGGTCACTGAGGAAAAAGGAGCTAATGTGAGGCTCTCAAGGCCCTGCCTGCACCCACTTTGACTAGTAGTGTTTTCTGCCACAGCCCCTGGCTTGCTTGCTAAGCTGGCACCCCCCTTCTTACGTACCATGTCTGGCAAAGACCTTTGAGTTCCTCGCTGATCTGCCCAGCTTTTCTTGCTTACAGGCAGTTATTCTCTCAACAGCCCTGGATGCCTACGCTCAAAGCTTCGTAATACTTTGCATTACCTGCCTGCCTCCCAGCACCAAGCCCTGCTCATTTCTCCTTTCCAGAAAGCATCAGCATCTATTCTTCTTCCAAACCTACCTCTGCCATGCAAATTCAGACCAAACTTTTGCAAAAAACTTAAGAGACCTACAGCCTCCTGTCCCTTCCCCATTCCTACCCACCTTTCAAACAGCCACCACAATGTCCTAATGTACTGTCCTGGAACAGGCTACTGGGTCAGATCCAGTGCCCCAGACTGGTACCCAAAGGCCTCTGGAGTGTGCCACTGCATTATCTACCATTCAGCATTGCTGTCCCACAGCAAACCTTTTTCTCCAGACATACTGTCCTCTTCATGTCACTGTCCATCACCACCATTGCGGCTGCCCACACACACGCATGTGTGAGGGGGAAACCCTCCTGAGCCTGTCCACACAGGCACCCTGGCCAACCCGGTTTCCCCAAGATTGCTGAGTGCTAAGAGCACCACATGTTTAGTTATGTCTTATCACACTATTGTGTGGCCCATAGGAAATAGTTCCCTATGCCACCTGGAATGTCACACTAGTTCTGTGAGGTCAAGGATCCTAGCTTTGATGATCCCTAAAATGCCTCGTTCCAAAATAGGCAACTAATGACTCACTCTTTAGAGAGACAGCATCAATTTCCTTGCCCGTAAAAGGAGGAGACTGCACAGGGCCCTAGGTCCAATCCTCAGTACCACCAAAAATGAATGATGGGTGGATGGAAAGAGAAGAGAAGAGAGAAAACGGAAGGGAAGCGAGTATAAGCAGACAGTGAACTGTGCTCTGGGGAGCCTCAGGAAGTGACCCGGACCGCCTTAGAGAAGGAGGCTGTGAGGGAAGAGCCTAAAGGCTAAACCCTAGCCCTGATCCCGCTTCAACCTGAACACTTCCCTTTACCGTTCTTCAAATTGAGTTCCAGTTAAAAAAGGAACAAGGGAAAGAAGAAGGGAAGGATTCTAAAGCTGAGGGAAAAAATATTAAAGGACTGGAGCTGACTGGTAGACCAAGGAGGATAAACGTACCTGGGATTTCCGAATGCGAAGGTCAGCTGACGACCGGGCCTCATCTTCCTCAATGTGCCTCTCCATACCTGGAGTGAGAGGAGGATTATTCTAGCAGCACATCTGCTCTCCCTCCCAAGAAACACTGTTCCACGCAGACCTCCTCAGTCACTCACACACGCAGAAGCCAGGGGCTGGAACAACAGTAGGCACGGTCTCGAAGGTCAGCTCACAGAGCCAGCCTTGCTGTTCTCAGCCTTCGTTATTTATTCCCAAGTCTAGCACAGGGTGAAGAGGGTGGCTGCTCGGTGACCAGGAGACGCAGGCCCAAATCCCCGTGCACCACTGGCTGGGCTGTGACCTGGAGAACACCACGCAGCCTCTCCTAACGTTCTGCTCTCCTGTCTGTAACATGGCACAGTAACGGCACCAGCTGAATGTCCTCGCCAGAGATGCTGGGGACCAAAGCGTTTTGAAGTTAGAGGTGTTTCAGATTTTGGAATATCTGCATGGACATAATGAGGTATCTTGGGGACAGGACCCCAAATTCAGTTATGCTTTATATTCTCCTTAAACATACACGGAACGTCCATTTGTGCCATATTTTTTAGTGCTCCTGTTTCTTGACTGAAATCTGTCATATGAGGTCAAGGTGGGTAATTTTCTACTTCTGGCATCTCGTCAGTGTTGAGCACGCTTGAGATTTCAAAGCACTTGGGATTTCCGACCTCAGGTTAGGGATGTTCCTGCCGTGCCTGGCTCAGAATACCAATGGGAAGATTAGATGAGCACAGTGCCCCTGGCAGGCACAGCACGCATCAGTATTGGAAGGGGCCAGGGAGGACCCTACTCTCCCCACCCATGAAAGCTGTGACAGTAACAGGGGTGGGGATAAATGATAAGCTACGCTCAGCAAAACTGCTCTCCCTGACCAAGAGCACGCACTCATTAATTACTCTGGGCAAGGATACAGACTAACTGGGTGTTGTGGTGCAGGCCTATAACCCCAGCACTCTTGAGACAGGAGAACTGAGAGTTTGAGCCCAGCCTAACCACTTAGCAAGACCTTGTCTCAAAGTTTAAACATTTGATGGGGGGGGGGCAGGAATTTAGCTCAGTGGCACCATGCCTGCCTTGCAAGTCCAAGGTCCTGAGTTTGATGCCCAGTACCAGAAAAAAAAAATTAAGGGGACTTGAGGGGAGGGGAAGTAGCTCAGCGTGAAGGCCCTGGGTTGCATCCCCAAGACTCAAAAACAAAGACAGTATCCATGGAACTAAGCAGACCTTCTGAGTCCCTAAGAGAACGGAACCTGTGACAACATCTTCAGTGAAGTATGTTCTCAAGTGGGGACCAAAGGGTGGTAACAGGAAGATGCCCACCAGGAGATACCTAGTCCGCTAAGAAGGTCAGCAGGCTAAGTAATCACCCCGCAAATGTAGATCTCAAAATTACCATTCAACTAAATGTAGGTGCCAGGAAAACAGGACCAGTAAGGAAACAGAGACTAAGGTAAAGTACCAAGTCAGTAGCTGAAAGGACCTTTGAACTCCCCTCTCTTAAGTTCAGTTCTAGAGTATTTCAACTTTTAGTCAGGTTTCAAGAGAAGGTAAATTCCTGGGACTAAAACAGCTCATTCCAGGAACACTGCCCAAACCACAAGCTGTTAGAAGGGCATCAGCCTGGCCCAGGTAAGTGTCAGTTCAGAGGAAGTGGCCCGGAAAACTGCAGGGTGGGGGCTGTTGTTCCCTTTGCTCCCTTCTTCCCCTCTTACTCTTGAGTTTGTTCCGGACACTGTTGGCCCTTTTCTTGATGTCCACGGTGAGCTGTTCGAGGTCATCCTTGGTTTCTGCGTAAACAAAGGAGATAAAATCAGAGAAGATAGGACTAACTGCTTTGTAAGTTACTTCAGTCAGCAGAGGAGAGGAGCTGCCCGGGCACCCAAGCTCACAGCAGTGCTTCTCCCAGTGTGCTCCCCAGAAAAGGCCCCTGGAGTCACAGAGAGCCGATTTTTAAAAGGCATGTTCTAGGCATTCAATCCCAAACTATAGAATAAAAAGAGCCCTAAAATCGGCCTTTTTAAGAAGCCTTCCTACCTAATTTTCCAGTATACAAACAAAGTTTTGAGAGCCTTGCTTTTAGAAGGAACTCACCCTGAAGGCTTCATCTCAGAAGGTAGAAGGTGCTCTGGGCACATCTACAGGTTCCAGGGCTTTTCAGCTTCAAATGAAGCACATATTTCTGATACACCTACAATATCCCCAGAGCTGTCCTAGACTGCTTGGCACAACATAAGTATTTGCTGCAGTCCATTCAAAAACAATCCTTCAACATCTACTGTAAGCTCAGAACTGAGCTAGGAACCAAGGAATTGGAGAGAAGATACAAACTTTGTAATCAAGGTATTCAAAGTCCAATGGGGATGAGGGAGAAATAAAACAGCAGTTAAAGTAAGCAGTGTGGAGCAAAGTTCGAGTTAAGGTCAAGGTGTGCACAGGGCAGTTACAAAGGGCCCCTGAGCACAGGCTGGAGGCCAGGAAGCTTGTGTAGACAGAAACAGGCTGGTCAACGAAGGAGTAAGGTTAACCAGGCAGCAGAGGACACTTAAGAGCTGCTGTCCCAGGGAGGAGGAGCAACATGGAAAAGGAATGAGGCTCCAAGTCAGAGGGAACACCCAGATTCAGTACAACTGCAGGACAGGTAATATGGACAGGAGAAACAGGTGGAGAGAAAGAGGGAATGTGACCAAGACCATTCCCATACCTCTGCTGAAATACTCCTTTAAGCCAGGTGTGGTAGGGAACACCTCTAATCCCAGCACTGCGGAGCTGAGACAGGACGAGTCCTGAGTCCTGAGTCCTGCCCGGGCAATTCGGTGAGTTAGGGAGACCCCATCTCAAAGTCAAATCAAGCCAGGCGTGGTGCCACATGCCTGTAGTCCCAGCACTGTGGAGGCTGAGGCAGGAGGAATGCCACGAGTTCAAGGCCAGCCTGAACTACATAGTGAGACCCTGTCTCAAAAAAGAAAGGGAAAAAACAAAAAAAGGTTTTGAGCATGTAGCTCAGTGTGAAGGCCGTGGGTTCAGTCCCCAGTATCTCACACGCACACAGACTTCCTTAATCTTTAAGAAATAAAGAGCCACTGAAGAAAGTAAAGAGCAAAATCACAGGATTGCTCTTATTCCTTGTCCTAAAGGAACAGAAAATACAGCCTAAAACTCTACGGTCAACATGTGGCACAATTAGCGAAAACACTGTTGGCCTCAGAAATGCGGATTTAGAGAAAAGAAGGACCCTGCACATTTGAAGCACCTCAGAACACTTTGTTGAGGAAAAAGTGGACCTGAATGGTAACATTTGGAAAGGAGCCTGAGAAAAGTACTGAGTCTGGAGAAATGGTAAACAAAGGCACAGGACTGGGACAGAATGGAGTAGGGAGGAGCAGAGAGAATCTGCAAGTCACAAGAGAGAGCAGAGAACTGGCCGGGTAGATGGAGTGCACCATGAACAGAGGAGCTGATGGTGGCAGCTGTAAGGAGGCAGTGCGTGTGGACGTTAGCACCAGCTGGTGACGTGTACACTCCCTGCCACGCCCAGAGCAAGGAAACCAAGACTGGCTCTGCCCCGGTGCAAAGGGGCATCGCCGGGCCGGGCAACTGACTCCACTGAGCAAACACTCACTTGGCTCCGGAATGGGTGCAGAGAGAATGATACTGTAGAGTTTCTTTGCCTCCTCCACGTGCTCCGAGATCTTGTCAATGTTGAGTCGAGTTTCCTCAATCTATAATCAGAAAATCAATAATCCTTATCATCAAAGAGGAAGAACACATCCATTGCTTAGCAGAGCTTCCTGGTGAAAGCCACCCACCTTCTGGCTTTGGGAAAGAAGATGAAGGTTTAAAAGTCTTCGGCTGCCCAGTGAGCACCCTTTCCATAGTCACCCTTTTCATAATCTCAGCGGAGTAGTCACTCAACTCCATCACCCTTCTCCCTGCGCAGGAACACATTTGCCCATCCTGAACGGGAGAGTCAGGCCACAGTCAAGAAAGTCAAGAAACCAAGAAGAATTATCAGAAATGAGGTGCCACCAAACCCTACTGGGCAGATCCTTCAGCCCCAAATGCGAAAACAGAAGAGAGTGAAGATGGAGAGAAAGGCAAAAGAAGAAAGGAAAGAAGTGCAAGGGAAGAGAACAGACCTGGGAGTGAAAAGCAAAGAATGAGAGGAAGAAGTAAGATGACAGACAGAAGGAAAGATACTGGGCCACTTCAGGACACAGCCGCGCCTCTCCTGGACATGTGTTCAGTTGATTCCTGCAGGAGCTAGAGCCATGGACCATTTCTATGTGTGTTAAGGTTCCTAACTGTACAGGGTGGGAGTGTCAAATGATATTTCTGGGGGCCGGGGATTTAGCTCAGTGGATTCACCGCCTGCTGCGCAAGCGCAAGGACCGAGTTCCATCCCCGGTACCAAAAAAAAAAAAAAGAGAGATTTCTGGCAGCATTTCGTTCCCAAATCAGGCACCACCCCAAGGCACTGTTGCATTAGCAGTGAGTGCAACCTTCATGCCCCGCACCATGGCCCCGCTGCAGTGGTGGCAGAGACACGGGCAGCATCGAGAGAAGAGCCTTCCATGCCCCACAGTGCCTACCCGCCTCATGGCAAAGTGAGCATACAAAGCGCTGCCACCCCTAACAACAGAAGCCCTGACCAGCCAGACAGCAGCAGGGTCTTGACATCTGGGATGCAGTGAAAAAAATAACCCCATGGGCGTGCAGCTTTCTGACCAGCGTACCATCCCTTTCTTCCAAAGGATGAGTCACCTCTTTTTAAAAACCTGATTTCGGGCAGGGATGTAGCTCAGTGGTTTGTAGCTCAGTGGTTCCGCCGCCTGCCTCACAAGTGCAAGGAACCAAGTTCAATCCCTGGTACCAAAAAAAAAAAAATTTTCCAATTAGTTAAGTGTGCCTGGGGCTTTGGATCACTTAAAATTTAGCGGGGGAAACAGAAGCTTATCTAGTTATTTTGACCAAAGCAACACAATACAGTGGAATTTCTTACAAAGGAATGAAGGGGCCAGGAGCACAGCCTGAGGGCAGTGAGGTATTTTGAAGAGAGCAGCAGCAGGTGGAGGGACAAGGGGACAAGGTGGGGTCACCAGCAGACAGCCAGAGCACAGTGCTGTCATCACGCAGGGCGGGCGGGGCCCATGCATTGAAGGCTGAGATTGGATGGCTTAAACAGCAGCCCATAGTGGGAAGTTCCAGATCTGGATTAAGCTCCAATGGATGATTGGGGTGAGGGTACCATCAATCATGTCCCACAGCACTGCCCTTGGTCGAGCATTCCAAAGGCCAGCCGACAGTTCACAGAGCACAGGAAGGACAGGAAGGGACTGCAGAGCCAATGAGTGGCCAAGGCTTCCTGCCTGCCTTATTGGAAGACCCCGGAAATGCAGTCTACCAGCTCAAGCAGTAAGTCCTTGTTATCCAGATATGCTGCTTACGCTTACAGAGCTAAGAAGTATTTAACCTGCGCTGGTGCAACCTCATGCTATACTTCCAAGTCACATTCACCTTGAGGGCTGCAGGTCTGCAAAAGTCAAGCCTGCCTACCAAATCCCTGTGTCCCAAGAAAGACCGCCTTGTAGTTCCTCTCCACGCTCTCCAGGCCTGACTCAGATCTGTTAAAGGGCTGGGACTGGCCTTCTTGTCCTAGACTACTTGACAACCACTATTGTTTCAAGCACGTGGTGTCACTCAGTAGATGTTGGTTGAGAAATGAATGAACACAAGTAACTTCAAGACACAAACGGGCCAGGGATTTAGCTCAGTGGCACGGCTCCTGCCTCACAAGCACAAGGTCCTGAGCTCCTGAGTTCCATCCCTGGTACTGGGGAAAAAAGAGACAAACATGCTTCACACACCACCACAAAATAGAGTCAGATTTGCTTAACTGCTGTTGTGACCTCAATGTTTGTGTCTCTCCACACCCGAACTGATAGGTTGATGCCTGATTCCCAACGAGATGGTATTTATAGTTAGGTCTTTGGTAGGTGATTAGGTCATGGGGGTGGAGCCTCATCAATGGGATTAGTGCCTTATAAGAAGAGGCCAGAAAGCTAGCTTAACTCTCTTGCTACCTTGCAAGGACGAAAGGAGAAGTTAGCAGTCTGTATGGAGAAGGGTCCCCACCAGAGCCCGATCAAGCCTCCCAGGCTCCAGAATGGTGGAAAATAAGCATCTATTTTTATAAATACCCCACTCTCTAGTATCTGAAGTAGCAGCCCACATTAAGAGAGAACCCTAAAAAGAAGACTCTGGCTTTATACATCAATAGCACTTTCCAAAGTGTATCTATCCCACTCATCCTCATTTACAGAAGTTCCGTGTCAGAAAGGTCTGCGAGAACTAAATGCTGGGATATCCACATTAAGCAAATTTCGTTACTACAGGACTTCTTTGGACTTTAATGGGGTAATGTGCATTTTCAATTTCTATAGGAAAGCAGGAATTTCTCCAACCTTCTGATGACAGAAGGTTTTCTGTATCTCTGGCTGCCCTCCCTGACAAGCACTTGGACTGACTCACTAAACAGCCTCCCCCCACCCTGCCCTTCCAAACTTGGTCCTAGCAGCCCCAGAGGATGGATCGTGATTGCTTCTACAGCCATCCTGGCAATCTGGTCCCTCTAATAAGTAGCCACTTCCCTGGTGTCCCTTCCAGCTGGGGGTGGGCATGACCAAGCTACTCAGTCCAGGGGCCGGGATGTCGCCCGGGAGAATGGGTGTTTTCCCTCCCTGGTAAAAGGACCAGGGGATTTTCTCACTGCTCCTAGTCTGAAGGCTGGTAATGCTGGTGCAAGGTGGTGCCAAATGGAACTCTAACTCTGTGGCGGTCTCATCTGACAACGGGCACAAATTTTTTGATGTTCTTCCCATTAAGAGGTGGGACTCTTGTTCTTCTGTCTGGAATCTGCAGCTTGTGGCCGCTTCCATGATACAGCACAGCAGAACTGTGCTGCTACAAACATGGGTCTGCATGCATTGCTACACTGTAACTTTAACTCTGCACAGTTATACACACATACTCAGTTCACAAGAGCTGTACAATGGAGACAGCGCGGATGCCCTTCCACCCAGACATTGTCCTGAAGACAAGGAGGCACATATATATGATACATTTATGATATAAATATATTTGGCCATAAAAAGGAAAACTTTGACCCATGTGTAGGAAAATAGATGCATCTTGAGACCATAGTGATGAGTGAAATAAGTCACACACAGGAGGTTAAATATCACATAGTTTCTCTTGTATGAGAAGCCCAATATAAATATAACAATAAAGGAGAGATAGTAGGAAACAGGGGCTGACTTTCGGGAACAAAGAAGGAGTGAAAATGAGGACAAAAGGGGATCAAAGTGATTAAGACAAAATATAAGTGCACCAATTCCCCAAGCAACCCTGAGTACAATTATTGTGTATCTCGAATGTATGTCACAGTAATAAAATGAAAAGAATACAAAACACATAGCAGGGATCCGCCCAAAAATAAAATAAAATCCAAAGGCCCTGGGTAAAGCCGTGCTGTGCAAAGTCCAAGCACGAAAAAGGCCAAGTGCAGCTGCTGTGACTGAGTCTCTCTGCACACTCTCCTGCCGGTCAGGTCCCCGCCCCGGGTGCTGGAATTCAGAAGTCTCTAACAGAGATTCTAACCTCTGGCTACTCAACTTCCCAACCAAGGTCAGAAATGGTGCAGGTGAGACAGATAAACCACCCTCACTGAGCCCCATCCAAATTCCTAATATAAAGGACCGATCAGCATAACAAAAGGCTTGTTGCCCTTTGCTAAGTAGCTCATTACACAACAACAGATAGCCAGGACAGCCTCAGTCTCAGTCCTTCCGGAAAAGGCCAGAGGATCCTCGAGATGCTGGCTCATGCCCTAACACCTCCCACGCACTCCTAACTCCACACCGTTACTCCAGAGCATCCCTAAAGCAGGCACCCTGGGGCCGAGGGGCTCAGACCCCATCAGAACGCTCACCGTCCTCTGCTGGGGATGCTGCTGCAGCCCACCTGCTGGCCTCTCATTTGTGGCCTCTCCTCCCCTCTACAAACTGCCATAGACTGATTTTAGACCCTCCACCATTTTGCAGTGGCTCCTCACTGGCGCAGGTCGGTCATGAAAGCATCTGGAAAAACTTCTGAAAAACCCAAGTCCGGGCTGCCTGGCGTCTCTGACCCAGGCCTGCATACAGACCAGCTCCAGGGGCACCTGACTGATAGGCGAGCCTAGCTGAGGGCAAGGAAACCCTCTTTCTCTGGGTGGGACTTAGCGCCTTCTCCGTGTTCCTATCCTCACAGGATAACTCCTAAAAATCTCCGTCACCCTTACCAGGCCAGGAGACACAGGACAAGGACCCTGTCACACACAGCGTTGCATCCCGACATGTATCTCACATGCAGTCTGGAAGACAGTAGTAAGCTCTCAGACATTTTTTAACAGATGAATGACTGAACACAGAATAATAAACCCCTGTTTATTATTTATTATAATAAACCCCTGTTTCTGCTTCCAAAGCTAGGTTTGTTTCCTCAAAAATTTTCTTCTCTCTGCCAACTAATGATGAAGAAATATATAGTAAATGACTGTAAATCAGACAAAAAAAAAAATTCAGAGTTCATCATTTGCCAGGCTTGATGGATGAACGTGGCCTCAAAATGCAAACGCCAATTCCATTCTCTAACAAGTGAGAAGATGGAGTAACCACTCCGACTTCACAGTTCAGCTCAAGCTCTGGAAATATACTGGTCCTGGGACTTTGTCTGTATCTCTCAAATACCTCCAGGACCAAGCTATGATTCACACTCCCAGTTCTCAGCAGAGGATCAAGGAGACCGCTGGAACCAGTCCAAACGGCAAGCTGTATCATGGGAATGCCATCCCAAAAGATCTGTGTAGCAATATCCTACAGGGGACGCGTGTTCCCTGGGCACAGAGAGAAAAACTTCTTCATTTCCCCCAATCCCTATGACGTGCAAAGTACTTTACCCAATTTCAAGAGTATTTCCAGCCACATTCTATAGAATAAACTTTGCAATCTACTTATGCACACATACAACTGGGGACAATGGCAATGAGAACTGAAACTCTCTGAGAGCATAGTTACGATCTGTCAGCACCATGCAAGGTGCACCCATATCTTTATCATTTTATAGTCAAAGTAACCAGCAGGCTCCAGCACTGTGCCTGCTTGAGAAAACTGGCATTCAGAGTAGCTACACAAGTCTTCCAAAGTTACACCATGCGCAGTGGGCAAAGCTAAGATTCAGACCAAGGTCTGCAGCCCCAGCCCCCAGGACCCTTCTGATGAGTTCTTCCTCACCCTCTGTGCCACCAGATTCTCTCCTCTCTGGGTCCCCTCAGATGAGGAAGGAGGAAGCTCACATTGCCCCACCCACAGCAAGCTCTTCCCTTCACAAATCTCTGAGTGAATGAATGTTTCTCCCTGTTCACAGGCGCACACACTCAGACAGCTAAGGGATATGGCCACGGTCACAAGGTCAGTGGCAGATACGGAATTTCTCTTCAAAGACCACACTTCTTCCACCTTGCCATGCTGTCCCCTTCTCCACCCTTAACGTGAAAGGGTTTGCAGGGGCCGTTAACAAAGAGAAAGCAGTAAGACAATAAAGCAGCCAGGAGATTTACTAAATCTCTGAAAACATGTGAGCTCTTGTGATTCTTACAACAAGCCCTGAAAGGTGAGGACTAACATCCCCAATTCCAGAGCAGGAAATCAAAGCTCAGGTAGCGTGAGTAATTTGACCAAAGTTACACTGCCTTGAAATGCTAGAAGAAGAAATCAAGCCATGAAGCCCACCATCTTCCCACCTCATGGGAATCTGCTTTTCAGGAACCCTCCTGCTGGATTAGGAGAAGGAGAACTCAGTTATCGGAGAAGATTCCTCTTTTATCTTAGGGCAGAGGTCCTCTAATGCATATGGTTCTCCAGGGTAAGACTGCAGGGACAAGAGATAAGTGTCTTCAAACATCTCCTCAAGGCCACCCACCACTGAACAGGAGACTCCTTCCAAAACCCACAGTGGATGAACCCTGGCCTCATAAAGCCAAGCACTGCCTGATTCCACGATGGTACCTGGTACCGGGACCAAAAGGAAGACCCACCCACAACCTGGGTGGTGTGTGCCCAACTCCCCAGTCAGCAGGGCACACGCAGGCTACAACTCTCGATAAAGGGCATGAACGGTCAAGCCCCGTTCCACTCCGCTTAGAGATGGCGGGGCGGGGGGCTACTTTTCCACATCTGCACCCCAGAGGGTGGGGAGGGCCCAAATTCTCTCTGCAGAAAGAAGACAATGCCTCCTGGTTTTTAACCCCCTAGAAAATAAAAACTAAATAAAACATAGTACAGTGGCAGAAACTTCAGCAACAGTAATAAGCTTCCGGGTCTGTTTCTTGTTGTTCAGTGCTGTTTGATGAGCACTGTCTCAATTCTTAGAGTAAGTCTATGGGGAAACCCAGTTTACAGATGAGGGAAACCAGTGCTCAGCGGGTTAAGGAACATTAACAAAAGTCATCAGCTGGTCAGAAACAGGCTGAGATTCAAGACCAAAGCCGCATTTGTGTGCCTGATATACTCTTGCCTCCACTACTTTCCACCAACCTATGTCCCACAAGGACCTTGAACATTAGAGTGGATGAATGTGTAGTCCCACAAGGACAACTTGCCCTTGTTAAACTACAAAACTAAACTGGTGGTTCCTGGTTTCTCTGTTACCACTAGTATTAAGGCAAAGGGACTCTAAAAATGTTCGGAAACAACAAAGTTGACCTATCTGAATCACAAGCCTAAAGATGCAACCATTTTTTACACTTCTGGCTATCTACCTATGGTTAATTGTGTATTGAAATTATATTCTTTAGGCCAGAAGGAATATCATTAAAATGCTGCCAAGTAGCATAAGACTTTAATTACATATAATTTCCCCTCTGCTGACTTTCATAATACAATTAAGGAAGAACTGAAAAGATGACCTCCCGGTAATGTCTTCAACCAGCCCCCCACCTGAAGGCTGTGACCTTCCTCTGCCTCTCCCTCTGTCTGAGGAGACACGAGGTTTTTGTATTCTTACAAAGGAAGCTGTGTTTCCTTATGTACATTCAGAACAAAATACAGGAAGGCTGCCCACCTCAGAGAAGAATTCATCCATGAAGGCTGTGTTGTCGATCGAGATCTCAACCTCATCAGTATCATCATCCTGTGTCAGCTGCTTCTGTAAGACACAAAGGAGCAGAGCATAAAAGCTGACCTTACTGAATGCTCACTGAGTTCCGGGAGCTGTAAGTCTTTTACACATGATTTCCTTTCAAAGTCATAACAGCTCTGTGATGTATCAGATTCTGCTGTTGTATTGTCTGAAATTAAACCCAAGCTCTGGCACCCCCTGGCTTTTTACAGAGGGGGACAGGACAGGAAGGGAGGGGCGAGCAAGTTACTAATCTTGCTGGACCTAAATTTTTGTGTCCATTAAATGCTGACAATAACTACCTCCTTCATAGAGCTATTTAAGGAACAGATGAGAGAATGAATATAAACGATTTTCGCACGGGGCCTGGCCCACCATAGCATTTAGTAAATCCCAGGGCTGGGGTGGGGTGGGGTGGGGTGCGATGGAACCTGACGTCTCACAGGCTAAGCAAGCAGGCAAGCACTGCTCCTGAGCTCCACCCCCAGCCCAAGGCCAGTCTTGTTGCTGTTGGTGGTCATGACACCACACCTGACTCTAGCTGAGGAAAGTAAAACTTGGGGAGATGTAGGCACTCAGCCAGAGTCACGCAGCTAGCCGTGGGGACCGGCCGAGTGCAGGCCGACTGTTGGACGTGCGCCTCCTCTGCACGCCATTCAAATGAGTTCCAGACAGAGCCCCGGCAGAGCTCGCAGCGCGGGCAAAGGCCCTCCTGTCTTTAGAAACCACCTATTAGGGAGGAAATGCTCTGTGCTGCTCCTGTTTAGGGGACAGGAAGCCTCCCCACCGGCCGGCACCCTTCGGGGACCGACCCCAGCTTCCTCGGTCTCTCTCCCTCCTGCGCAGCGCCACCCACTGGCTTCTGGCAGCAGCCGGCGCCTCCCAGCCCAGCAGCAAGGCTCCCGGGGGCTGCGCGCCACTGATTTCCAGGCGCACAGAAGGAAGAGTGTGCAGGGTGTCGGGGGACTTCTCCGTGCCCTGCAGTGGCCCACAACGTGCCACTCCCAGACCCTCACGGCTCCACAGCGGGGCACTGGACCGGCCCCTCCCTCGCCGCTGCCATCTCCCGGTTCACGCGAGGAGGAGGTGCTGGGTCCGCCATGGACATCCGGGCTCCTCCAGCCAAACGGGGAGTCTTGCCTGGCTCCCCCAGCCCCTCACCGTCTGGTCCGAAACAGTCAACACCCTGCACTGAGCAGCTGTGTTCAGAATGACGGGACCTGCGGGCAGGGCGGCCTCCACCACCACTCTGACCCTTTGCCACCTAGGGCCCTGGGGTGAAGGCTCCCCTCCTAGGGTTGGCGCCCCCGGGCCTCACAAGCACCTGGGCTCCCTCAGACCCACCCTCCCTACTCCTCCCTCTGAGGGGCTCTCCCTGCACCAAGCCATGGGCCCCCTCCCACGTCCCGGGCACATCATGCTGGCACTGCACAGGGCCTACTTCCTGAAAAGCTCTTCTCCAACCAGCAAAAGTCTACTCAGACTGTTTTGTTTTTGAGACAGGATCTCACCATGTAGTTCAGGCTGTGCTGTGTAGCACAGGCTGGCCTCAAACTCCCAGCGACCATCTCTCCTGGCCTCCCAGGTGCTGGGATTACAGGCCTGCGCCACCATGCCTAGCATTACTTACTTTAAAATCAAGCTCAGGGAGCCTTTGGATACCTTACCTAACTCACACTTTTCCCAAGCAAAATGTAAAACCTCCCTAAGCTCCCACTGGCCCATAGGACCTTCTACAGCCACCCCACAGCCCACTACTGGACGTTAGTCCTTCCTCTTTTTTTTTTTGTACTGGGGATGGAACTCAGGACCTTGTGCTTGCGAAGCAGGCAGCGGCACCACTGTGCTAAATCCCCGACCGTGAACGTTAGTCCTGTATTTATCAGTCTCTCCCACTGACTAGACCCTTTCGGAGGCTCCAGGGTACCTGTAGATCTACTAGACTAGATCGAAGGGCAGGTGGAATGGGGCTTGAACTCAGGGCCTTCACACTGAACTACATTCCTGGCTCTCTTTAAATTTTGAGACAGGGTCTCATTAGGCCACTAAATTGCCCAGACTAGGCTCAAACTTGCAGTCCTCCTGCCTCAGCCTCCCGGAGTGCCGGGATTACAAGGTGATAGCATGGATTCTTTATGAGGGTGTGTCTGTCTGTCCGTCTGTCTATCTCCCTGCCCAGGGCTCCTTCCCCACATGATTCTGGGGATAATACCAATCACAACCCAAGCCCCAGGAGGACTGGGAACTGTGACAGGCGTCTGAGTGGGAGGAGCCAAGTCCTCCCATGGCAGGCCACTGTCAGTCACAGTGCCCTCCTGCCTGCCCCCCGGAGCCCTCCTTGGGTTTGGCCAGGTCCTGTGGCTCCTTCCAGTGGTCTTTCAATGAGTCCAACAGTGTCCTTCATTTCGCCAGAATCGGCTTCATCAGGTGCAATAAAATTTGGCACTGTGCCTGTCATCGATGTATTCCACCCGTTTCCTGAGTGCTTACGATGAACTAGGCATATAACAGAAACTGAATCCATTGTAGCTAAGTAAATAACCTGCTTTCACAGAGACCAGAGGCCTGGACCCAGCCAGCAGTTTCTAAAGCATGAAACACAGTAACCCTAGGTCAAGCATCCATAACACACAGGCCTCCCGGCAGCCTCTGCAGAAGATCTCTGTCATCCTCATCAGAAAGCAGGAGCCCAGTCTTCCTCGAGAGGCAAGTTAATCAGCTTCGGTGATGGGTGCCCTTCCTCGGGGCTGGCCTGGAGACCACACTGAGGCAGGGACCCTTAGAATATGGGCACACACGCACATGCACGCCCACAGTGCACTCACGTGACATGAGCTCAGCGTGCACTCGCGCTCAGGAGGTGGGAGGGGCTGTCACCGTGCACAGAGTAAGGGGTCTACAGAGGCTGGGAAGGCAGGCAGGCACCAGCTCTGCACTGCGACGGGAGGTTTTCAGACCCCTACAGTTTGTACAGAGACCCCATGCCCAGGTCCTAGCCAGGCGACCTGGTCCACCTTCAGCTAGAAGATGGCCAGGGGAGGAGAAGCCTGGGTGCGAGGCTGCTGTCAGCAACTACTAGCTGCAAGACCCCCACCAAGGACTCTGCCTGTGAAGGGCTGAGCACCACCCACCTCCGAGTTTCATGAGGCAGGAGACGTCACGTATGGAAAGCTCTTAGCACGATACAGGGCTCACACACCAGTGCCTAATACATGTCAGTTTCCTATCAGCTGGGACTACAGGCGTGGGCCACCGGGCCTGGTCACTCGGCCTTTAAAGCGAAGCCATAAAGATGTGGGTGTAAAGAAACAGTCCCTCACCTCTCCACCCCTCCTCCTTCTCCTTCCTCCTCCCTAAAAGATAAGGAATGGGTCAGCTCCCCACGTCACGTCACGAGGGCAGAGGACATCGGGCCTCATCACATGCTTGTCATGGAGCCTAAAGGCATAAAGGTTTAAGGGCTCTGACTCTTGATTTCCTCCACGCCCGACCATGCTTGAGAGGAGGCCCTATCTGCACCACCGCAACAGCCCTCCCACTCGACTCTGCTCCAACTCTGCTGCAGCCCCAGGCCACCCCCATTTCCCTAGATCCTGAGATGACGAGACCACGTTCCCATCCCCTGCTGCGTAAATGCAAAGCCTGCCTGGCAAGACTTCTGCACCTTCTGCTCCCATCAACCTGGCTGCGCCCGCCTTCTCACCCATCACCTTTATTCCTGCTCTGGGCTTCGTTAGCCCTGGGGACCCTGATCCCCCACACACACTCGACCCTCAAACCGACCCCTGGCCCCGCTTCACCTCCCTTCACTGTTATCTGACAGTTTTATGAGTTCTGCTGTCAGCTCCTCAGCTCCATTTTAAGCAAGTTGTGGCCAGGAATCAATAATAGCTCATAAGTCGCAGCACTTGCAGGGAACCTGGCCCAGCGCTGGGCACATCAGGAGGGAGCAGGTGTCACTCGACAAATCTGCCTGTCACACACTTCGTGGCAGCAGGCTGACCAACACTGGCAGACTTCGCCCCACCCGCTTCACAACAGGAAAATCCTGAAAGTGCACCCTCCCCCCGCCACCTTCCTCTACCCAAGTCTGACACACATGTAGCATTTCTAACGTATGCACAGAAATGGCGCTGTGTTACAGAAATCTTCACTCTTAGGATTCAATCCAGGGCCTTCTCAAGGAGCTATATTCCCGCCTTTTTTCTTTTGAGACAGGGTCCAGCAAGTTGCTAAGTTTCCCACATCAGGCTCAAACTTGCAATCTTCCCACCTCAGTTTCCCACAGTGTGGGGATTACAGGCGAATATCACCATGGCCGACTGCATACATACAGAAGAGCGTCTCTGTCATTCTGTCTATGTATGTATATTTCATACAGATACACATGCAGATGTATGCATATAGACATATATCAGAGAAAGAGACAGAGTTAGCTAAGGCTGATGTGAAGATTAAATAAGATAAAATTTTAAACTTCCTTTCACAGTGCATGACACACAGTCAGAACTCAGGAAAGTAACCATACATAAGATCTCCTCGGGCCAGGGATTTAGCTCAGTGGCACCACACCTACCCCACAAGCGCAAGTTCCTGAGTTTGATCCCGGGTACCAAAAAAAAAAAATCTTGTTACGTCAGTTCCTCATTCCTTTATCCTAGATCTGAGCTGTCTTTAAGCTAAAAGCAGGGAAAGTGTGGGGAGGGGACACAGGACTTGTAGAACTAAATGCAACCTTAAGAACTTTGCTATTGAGTCCCTTCACTTAGATACACAGACACCAGACCCCAAGACCACGTAATGAGTCACTGCCACAGACTCAACTAGAGCCCAGGTCTCTGAGCTTCCATCTTCCTGTGCAGTTTTTCCCCATGTAGCAGGCTGTCTCCAGAGGATAAAATAACAGCAACAACGTCTCGTGTGGGTCAGAAAATCCAAGGCAGAGCCAGCCTCTCTGCCATCTGCCCTCTCGTCAACCTGGAGCCGCCCCAGGCTTCCCGACGGCAGCCTCTACCAGATCCAGCTCA